AACAAAAATCTGATGGAACTATAGAGAGGTATAAGGCTCGTTTAGTAGCCAAAGGGTTCACTCAAAGACATGGAATAGATTTTCATGAAATCTTCTCTCCCGTGGTTAAATTCACCACTGTTAGGAGTCTTGTTGCTATTGCAGTCAAAAGGAATTGGAATATACATCAATTTGATGTTAATAACGCATTTTTACATGTTGAATTACATGAACAGGTATATATGCGTTTACCACTTGGTCATGAGGCTTCTTCCTCTTATTCACTCGTTTGCAAACTCAAAAAATCTCTTTATGGGCTAAGACAAGCCTCTAGACAGTGGTATGCTAAACTCTCTAATGCATTGCGTTCTAAAGGGTATTTTCATTCTCCTAATGATTATTCTCTTTTCTTAAAGAAATCCTCTTTTTCAATTACAATTGTTGCAATTTATGTCGATGATATACTTGTTACGGGTGATGACATTGGAGAGATACAATGCTTAAAAGAGTTTTTACACCATCAATTTAAGATTAAAGACTTAGGTCTTTTACATTTCTTTCTTGGAATAGAGTTTAATAAACTTGATCATGACATGATGATACATCAAACCAAGTTCATCAAACAACTACTTCAAGATTATGATCTAGATGATGCTACACCAGTTTCAAGCCCTCTTCCTCCTCAAGTGAAGTTACTTCCAAAAATGGACAATCCACTTCCAGATGCAACAATTTACAGACAACTTATTGGCAAACTTAATTTTTTGTTGCATACTCGTCCTGACTTAGCCTTCTCTGTGCAACATTTAAGTCAGTTTAATCAGACACCTTCTCAAGAACATTATTCTACTGCTATTCATGTTCTCAAATACATCAAAGGTATTATTTCACAAGCTTTGTATTTTAACGATAACAAAAATTTCAAGCTGGATGCTTTTTGTGATTCGGATTGGGCAGCATGTCCCATTACCCAAAAATCAGTTAGTGGATACTATATTTTGTTTGGTGGATCTCCGATTTCATGGAAATCAAAGAAGCAATCAACCATATCCTTATCTTCTGCAGAAGCTGAGTACCGATCAATGCGACAAGTCACTGCTGAACTTTCCTGGTTGAGTCGTCTTCTTGATGAATTAGGAGTCACAGAAATTACTCCTATACCCCTTAAGTGTGATAATATGGTTGCTATCTATATCGCTAATAATCCTGTCTTTCATGAACGTACGAAGCATATTGAAATTGATTGCCACTTCGTCCGCAACAAGGTTCAAGAGGGTTTAATCTGTTTATCTCATGTTGATACTAATGAACAATTGGCAGACATTCTTACCAAACAAGTCTCAGGTTCTCGACATTTTGAGGCTACATCCAAGCTTGGTCTGATCAATGGTCCTAAGCTTGACGAGGGGTGTTAAATAATTGATTAGTTAGAATTAGTTTTACAGTCGGTTAGAAGAAGGGCATTTATGTAATTTCAATTATTTGTTCAGTTAGTTTGATAGATTGTACATATTAGAACTTATACAATGTATTGATTCAGTTTTTTCAAGAATATCGAAGGATTTCTTTCTCAAATTCTTCTCTTCAATCTCAGTTCTAACAGTTTCACAAAGAAAATCAATTGCAAAATAGTTTTATAAGAAAAATTCTTTTAAAATCATTTTCGTGAATGCACACAATCATATTTAAAGAATTCATATAATATATATAGAAAATATATCATCACATAGAAACAAAAATCATAAAAGCATCAATATAAGATTGTATTAATATGTATTATTGGTAATAACTCATTTCAACTAGTTGTAGATTAGCCATATTATTTTTATTTGGATTACTGGCCAACATTTATACATCAAAGTTTAACAAAGTACCTAACTACTTATTAAGCTCTTAATGAAATTTAGTATTTTGAAGTCTTGTTTTATCCTTTAGATATGTTTCTTACATTATTAAAGGTTAATATACGTGATTTAAAGTCAAACGAATCAATGGAAGAAAAGTTATAAGAATTTTAATTTGTCACAGACAAATTACACGATCTATGCTTTTTATGCATTCAAAGTACACGAGTTACATTTTTGGGGTTTATCAACACTTCGATGAAAAATGTCATTTAGCTCATCTATTAATTATAACCATTGCGATTCTAAATCTAATAATTTAGGAGGAGTTTGTTATTTTATCTATATTATTATTTTTTTGAAAAAATATCATTTTCATCACTTATGTTTGCGGATGTACAGACATATATAAAAAATACATTTTTTAGAGGCCAAAAGATATAAAATATATGTTTGTCATTTTTTGCATAATATGTATAAAACATATGTTTGTCCTCTTTTTGCATAATATGTACAAAACATATGAAAAATACATATGGTTGTCCTCTTCGAGGTGTTGCTGCTGCTGGACTATCGGCAGTGTCGCCGATTGTAGCCTTCTAGTTCCAGCATTCTTGGAAAGACAGAGCGTCGTCGTCGATTATGATTTACGTGAGGATTAAGCTTGAATGAACGAGCGGGAATGACAATTAGGGAATTCAACTTTGATGATTGGAATTTCGTGAGGGCTGCCTTGAAGCCTTGAACTGATCAAGTTTAACCCTACGTAAAATAGTAATCGGGCCACAATAATTTTTACTTTATAATTAATATTTTTATTTAATATATAAATATATAATATATTTTTAAATTAATTAATTTATGAAATTCGGTTTTTCGGCTTGGTTTGATTTAAACTTCATGAGACCGAAACTCGAACCAAAAAACCAAATTCACAATTCGATTTGGTTTCAGACCAAACCAAAACCAAATATGAATTTGGTTTAGTCTGAAATCGATTTTGGTTCGACTTAGTTTTCGGTTTTTTCGGTTCTGGACCAAATAATTTTCATCCTAATCCAACCAAATCAATTTCAACCCAACATAATCCTTATATTAAGAATTACTTTTTACATGTTAGTCTCTTTTCCTTTTCCTAGTTCAAATACTAACAAACCTTTTTTTGTCGGTCTTTAAGCCTTAAAAATGAAATTGGGTATTGAAGACTTTAAGCCCTAAAAATGAAAGCATATTTCAAGTACATAAATGTTATGCACTAAGTGGGCTAATGGCCGCACCCCTTTCCGAAAGGTCCGTAGGTTGGACGGTTGATTGGACCCACAAGTCGGTGGCAATGTGGCATGCTACCACAAACGACGAATTTGACAAGCTTTTAATCTTTTATTAATTTATTAAGTAAAGACAAAAATTATAGACACTACTACGGTAATATAAAAAGATTAATTATTGATTTATGTAATTTTTTAAATAACTAGTATATTAAAATGGTTATAAAGAAGATCCATATTTATAAGTCATTTATGTAGTTTAAGAATTAAGATGTATATTTATCAACACATCCATACAATTCCTTAAAGTAAATGGATTAAAAGCGATACCACTTTCTTGTTATAGGGTTTTCTATAATCGTAAAACCTACCAATGTAATCTTGTGCACATAACTAGTGGCGGATCTAGAAAAAAATATTACTAGGATCCATCTTATATAAAAAATGAAACAAAAATTTGAAAGTAGAAAAAATCAGAAATTTTGAGATTTTTTTGGGAGTTTAATCTGTTAAAAATATTACAAAATTAGTTTTTTCAGCAAAAGTGGGTGACAAAAGGGATAATTTCAGCAAAAGATGAATTTTTTAAGGGCTGATGGACCCTCATTCTTACACTGTGGATCCACCACTGCATATAATAGTCGAGGTCATGCACAATAAACTCATCTACGTCTGACATATCCACATGACCTTTAGATATTTCATATCATGATACATTGAAAATATATCTCATGATTTATGTTCATTAAAAACAGGGTATCATTACCTTTTAATAATACGAAAGCACCAACAAAATACAATATTTTATTTAAAAAAGTAATTAAAAGACCGATTATGTAATAACAAAACAATATTTTATTTAAAAAAATAACTAAAAGATCATTAACTAATATGTAACAATAAAAGCGTACTGCGGATGTTTTAATGATAGACAATCTGGTGATCCATATTGTAAGCACCATTGTTCGCAAATGATATTATTAGCATAAGGTAAGGTTACCGTAAGTAAAGGAGACAACGAAAGAGATGAACAATTGGAAGAGACGAAGAGTTTTTTTTTTTTGGAAAATGTCGTAAAAAACATATAGTGATCAACAATGAAAATGTAATGATACGAAAAAATGGCAGAAGTCTAATAAGGAAGAAGAGATGTAACGAAAATGAGAAAACTACCATCGTGCACAACATGTGAAATTTAACACAATCTGAAAAAGTCATAAAATTGAAAGAAAACTATTAAATTATGACCAAAATTGCAAAAATAAATGTTTAGGTCCTAAATTATAAAAAAAAGAAAGTTAGAAAACTTAGAGTCCTAACTATTTAATAATGTTATTTCTAACCTAACTTACTTTGCTTGTATATTGTTTCTTAATTTATTTAAAATGAAACTGGGGTTTAACCAAGTTTTATTTTTACAGTCATATAGAAACTATAGTTTCGATTCGATTACATCGCAAAACTACATCATAAAATTAATAAGAAGCAAATAAATGTGAGGTCGTAAGATAATCATTAATCTATCCAAGATAAAATTAAAAAATCGTTTTAAATCTAAAACACAAGAAGTTCATTTAGTTTAATAAAAGTTAAATAAAAAAGCGCAGCCAAAGCGCAACAGCGTTATGCGTAACAAAACATTATAATTTAAATCAAATTTTAACATATTTTTCTGAAAAAAAAAATCGTTTCTAAAGTCCATTTTTATTCAACTTAATTACAATGACTAGGTTTCAATATATATTAATTACCAGTAAATCATGCTTATTTAGACTCGAACTCTGAGCCTGTAAAAGTTAACATATTTTATTAATTTATATGTATAATAAATAAAAATAGGTGATCAAAGTGCTTTATTATTATTTCCATCTAAGACGAAAGTATATTTATTTCAGGAAAAGAATTATTCCACTTTTTTTCTATGTAATGATATTTTATACCATGGGGAAAGAAAGTGTGAATGTGATGCATCCTTTTGCTATAAGACAGAGCAACTCAGAGGGGTTTATGGCTTTATGCTGACCTGAGATCGCACTCTTTTTGCTCTCTTCACCTGCAAAAATCAAATCTCTGGATTCAACTACTACCGATGGGTATGTCACTCGACTTCTTCAAAATCACTGCTAAATTTATCATATCTAATGCACTTACTATTCATTTTGCACATCTAAACCCTAATGTCGATACAGTTGATTCAACATTGTGCTTTTTGTTTACCGTTGCAACGGTATAAATTTTAAAATCTGCAACTGACCTTTAATCTCGTTTCGATAGTATTAACTGATCTTGTTGAGTAATTAGGTACTGAAGTAATTTGATCTTGTTTTTGATCTAGACAATAAAGTTGTGTATGGTGAAATTATAAGCATGTAGGATCTTTGACAGAGTTAATCGAGTTACCTGATCCTTACAGCGAGACTTTGTTGTTGACCTGTTTGTTCTCTTGAAGAAACTGGAATGTGTTAAGGTGAAAATTCCGTGTTGGAATGGGATCTGGAATACAAATAAAGGAATAAGTTGCAGTGAACTTAAATTAATAACTAATGTTACTAATCACCAACTCCGGTGTTGGAAATGATAAAAGGTGTAAAAACTGAAACGGAATGCTGGATCATGTGAAAATTGTGGTGTTTTGAAATAGTTGTATTCAGTTGATTGTTTTATTTGTAAGATGAAGATTGTATGCTTATGGAGTCATGATATACTGATTCAAGTGTTGCCTTTTGTAGACAAAGAAGCCGGTTGCTGCTCCACCCACCTCATAGAAGGAGATGGCACTTTTAATGGTGAAGGACTTGATAATTTTATCAAAGAAGTAAAACTGGCTGAATGTGGACTTTCTTATGCTGTTGTTGCCATCATGGGTCCTCAAAGCAGTGGTATGTCTTTTATATATTGAGATTGCATTATCTGCAAGTTCTGATTTCATATTTGTGACAGGGAAGAGCACACTTCTGAATAATCTTTTTCACACAAACTTCAGGGAAATGGATGCTTATAGGGGAAGGCATGCATCTATTTTTCTTGCATCTTTTTTATTGTTAATATACCTCCACATTTGTTGACTTTCTGCATTGACTTTTTACAGGTCTCAAACCACCAAAGGTATTTGGATGGCAAGATGTGTTGGCATTGAACCTTGCACCATAGTAATGGATCTTGAAGGTACTGATGGAAGAGAGCGAGGAGAGGTTAGTATTCATTGTTTTATTTTATTCTTTTGGTTCTCTTTTTAAATAGTTATTGAGCTTTTTCTGCTTCTCCAGGATGATACTGCATTTGAAAAGCAGAGTGCACTTTTTGCCCTTGCTGTTTCAGATATAGTGCTTATCAACATGTAAGCCTTGTGATAGCCTGATAAAAGTAGATATGTTTTTTCTGTAAATTTTAATTGCTTTCCTTGGGGTACATTGTGTTATACAGGTGGTGTCATGATATTGGGCGTGAACAGGCTGCTAACAAGCCACTTCTAAAAACTGTATTCCAGGTGCATTGTCTTTGCATTTGCTTTATCCTTTTTTATTTGTTAGCACTAATGTCAAAATATTGAATTTTAAACTTCTGTATTTCAGGTTATGTTGCGACTATTTAGTCCACGTAAAACAACTTTGATGTTTGTTATTCGTGATAAAACAAGGGTACGTTGTCTTGTGCAACACATGTTTTTAAAGATTTAACAAGTTGGATGACATTTGATGTAATTATCCTTTTGTTTCTGTATAGACCCCCCTTGAAAACTTAGAACCTGTCTTGAGGGAAGATATCCAGAAGGTAATTATAGTTAATAGTTATTAATTATTTATTGTATTACTCCACAGTTAACACAATTGCAACACTTATAATGCTCTGTTCTGTGTCTCAGATTTGGGATTCTGTCCCTAAGCCAGAAGCCCACAAACAGACTCCATTGAGTGACTTTTTTAATGTAGAAGTTGTTGCACTTTCTAGTTTTGAAGAGAAAGAAGAACAATTTAAGGAGCAGGTATGATAAAGATTTACTTGTAGATATTATATGAGAGACATGGATATTTTTAACATTTTCTAATTATATATATTTTTTGTTCCACTAAAGGTGGCTAGTTTGAGGCAAAGATTCTTCCATTCTATAGCACCTAATGGCTTAGCTGGCGATAGGAGGGGGGTAGTTCCTGCTTCAGGTTTTTCCTTTAGTGCCCAACAAATTTGGGAAGTTATTAAGGAAAACAAAGACCTTGACTTACCTGCCCACAAGGTAAACTTTTTAACAATCATCTTTTTTTTTTTTTTTTTTTTTTTTTTTTTAACTTTTAAAAAGTTTTTGGATGTTAAAGTTCCTGCTATTTTTACAGGTGATGGTTGCCACTGTAAGATGTGAAGAAATTGCTAATGAGAAGTACTCTTTCTTTGTAACAAACGAGGTACATTTTAAAAAATACCACTTTCAACTTTCAAGCACTAATTACGTTCTATGAAAATATATATAAACTCCTGTTTAAACAGGACTGGTGTGACTTAAAAGATGCTGTACAATCTCATTTAGTCCCAGGCTTTGGAAACAAGCTTAGTTCAATGATTGAGGCTTCTTTATCTAGGTAAACATAGATTTTTATTGTCTTTTTGTGTTTGTTTCAATTTTCAAAATGTACAATATTTATTAATTTATATAATTTTTACGGTTTCAGTTATGATGAAGAAGCGACTTACTTTGAAGATGGTGTTAGATCTGCCAAACGAAAGCAGTTGGAAGAGAAATTGATTCAAGTAATATTTTATATTTCTTTCTTCATGATAAGTATGTTTCATATTTGTTGTACTAATTGATTATTATATTATGATTTATTTAGCTTGTTCAACCGACATATCAATTGATGCTGGAACACATACAATTAGAGACACTCAATAAATTCAAAAAAGCACTTGAAGATGCTTTAAATGGAGGACAAGGGTTTGCAAAAGCTGCTTGGAATTGCACCGAATCATTCATGACACTCTTTGATGAACAATGCAAAGGTACACATCAATAGATCCCAGTTTCTTAAACAACACACACACACACACACACTTTGTTTGTAGGCCTAATACATTCAATCTACAGATGTGGCTATCAAACAAGCTGTTTGGGATTCGGCTAAAGTAAGGGATAAATTTTCATGTGAGATAGATTCACATATTGCTGAAGTTCAAACAGCCAAACTAGCTGAACTTAATGCACTATATGAGGTAATACATTTCTTAAGCTGTAATAACAATTTGCCCTTTTAAAAATGAATTTTTTTTAGTTATCATTGGTTTTTTGTTTCTATTTTCAGTCAAAGTTGAAAGTGGCATTGGAAGGACCAGTTGCAGCCCTACTAGAAGGAGGTGGTGATGACACCTGGCTCGCAATAAGGAAACTTTTTCATCAAGAAACCAAAACAACCATCTCTGACTTTTCTGATGCACTTTCTGGTTTTGAAATGGACAAAAAAGCCAATGAAGAAATGATTTCAAATTTAGAAATTTTTGCTAGAGGAATAGTCGAAGGGAAAACAAAAGAAGAAGCAGGGAAAGCTTTGTATCGCATGAAAGAGAGGTATAACTTGCTAATCTCTCACTCTCACTAATGAAATTAATCTATCTAATCATTTTATCTCAAGAATTTTTTATTTTACAGATTTACTTCTCTATTTAACCATGATGCTGATTCAATGCCACGTGTCTGGACCGGAAAGGAAGATATACGCGCAATTACCAAAATAGCCCGGTCTTCTGTAAGAGTCATTTCATTAGAAAATAATAGAGCAAAATTAATTAATTAATCTATTATAGTTTAACAATTTATGTTTATGTTTCAGTCTTTAAAGTTGCTGTCTGTATTGGCTGCAAGTCGTTTGGATGTAGATGGTGATAAGATTGGGGACACATTAGTCCTTGCGTTAGTGGATCACAAAAAAGACAAGAATACCCCCATGCAGGACCCATTGGTCTCCAGCACATGGGAAGAGGTAATTATTTGTACTCACAGTTGTGTAAATGATTTATTTTTAATTGCATTTTGTGTATTATGTGCAAACAGGTTCCAGCAACAAACACACTCATAACTCCTGTTCAGTGTAAATCATTATGGAGCCAATTTCAAAGAGAGACAGAGTATACTATTACTCAAGCCATTGCTTCCCAGGTACGGTATCTTTTAGAGTAAATTGCCGTTTTGGTCCCCGAGTATAATTGATTTTTGTAATTCTGGACCTTATTTGAGGTTCTTGTAACCTTTTTGGTCCCTACTCCAAGTAAAATGACTATTTTTTGGTCCCAAAAAATATAAGTCATTTTACTTGGAACTTGGATTGGGACCAAAGTTGAAAAAATCAGCTATGCCTAGGGACCAAAAATGAATGAAGTGAAGTGATTCTAAGATTCTTCTTGTGTTTACTGGTATGGTTTTCAGGAAGCTAATAAGCGAAATAACAATATGTTACCACCTCCATGGGCAATAGCTGCTATGTTCATCCTAGGATTTAACGAATTTATGACACTTTTAAGGTTTGTTTGTTTTCTTGTCTCTCTAACTAACTTGTTATGCTCAAATCCACAATTCACTCACACCACTTACATTGTCTTGTTTTGCAGGAATCCATTATGGCTGCTTGTTATTTTTGTGGGTTATCTTCTTTTCAAAGCATTGTGGGTCCAACTAGACATATCTGGTGAATTTAGCAATGGCATGGTGAGTTCCATTCCATCTAAATATATCGAATCATAAAGTCATATAACAGCAACATACTTCACAGTTTATTTATTTATTTTTTCTGTTTTTTTTATGCTTACAGCTTCCAGGAATTCTGTCTTTATCCACCAAGTTTCTTCCTACAGTCACAAATCTGCTTAGAAAACTAGCCGAAGAGGGGCAAAAGCCTGTTGTAACCCAGCCACAGGTATTAGGGTCAAATTTTCAAGGGGTAGTTTCGTCATCTGGCTCATCTGGTGTAACCATGGAAAATGGAAATGGAACCGAGTACACTAGTCCCACCACACATGTCAAAGAGCAATAGATCCATTCATTTGATTTTGATCACACACTTGTACACATGCAAAACTCGTTTATTTACACATATATATCATTTTATGGATTTTTTAATATATGCTCGAGGAGGGATAAATTTTATATCAGGTGTCGTGTATTTTGATCATGGGACGTTACTTTTTGTAGTCACATGTTCAGCTCTTTGTTTGTATATTGTATTTGTGGGTATGCCTGAAAAGAGACATTTTTGATATTTTTTGTGTCTGTATTTTAACAAGCTATATTTGTATCTATAGTACCAAAAATCGATAATAAATGATTGATGAAACCATACATTGTTATTTGTTTATCGATCTAGCTAGTCATTGAACCATTGTTATAAAAGTAATAATAAATACTAGTTCTGTGGTTAAATAGATAGTATGTTGAGCTTTTTGTATTTTGACTTTTTCCAAAACCTCGTAACCTAGAATATGTTTTTGTTAAACTGTAATAAGTGTACAAGACTTCAATCAGTAATTAAATAATGAAATTGCCAAGTGTGTTTCGGTATTTTGGTTCTTGCCCTTTTTCTGTTTTCAGAGTTTTGCGAAAATTCCCTTCTAAGTAATGATTTCGTAATTGCTTTTTTTCCCCTTCCAATTAATTCCATAAGAGCAGGTGAGAAAATTGAATGTCACATTTAAAAGTAAATAGCCTTATGCCCTTGTCAGTTGTCATAGATTATACGTAGTTGGTTTTGGCCAGTCTATTATATTGTATCTTTCAATGCATCCGCTCTGAGTATGTTGCTCCTAGATCATACCTATATTATGAGTTATGATTATGACTAGGCTTAATGTAAAACCTAAACTTATATATCAACTCGCTTTCAAGAAAAAAGCCCATAGTTCATATGTGAGGAGGGAAAATGTACACGTAGCCAAACGATATCCCAATGCTATCCAAAATTATGGTCAATGACTAATCACCACCCGAAACACCCAAAACCCTTGGTTTCTAAAACAAGAGTCAACCCCACAACAAAACAAAAGAAGGATGTCGAATAACAAAGATAACGATGTTCTAACACCATTAAAAAAACAATATAGCAATAATCAAACAATCATGAGATTGTGTACATTCACCGAGGAAAAATCGTTACTTGTATATTGCACAAATCAAACGGGGTTACAAAGCTTATCAATGTACAAAAGATGAAACAAAAGCATAATAAATCACCACTAAGAGAAAAATGGAGGAAGTAGGGAAAAAACGACGAAATAACACATTAAATATCCAATATCTACTAAAGGAATCCTATCCCATCGGTATCAGGTGTTGTTCTCTATCTCCTTGAGGTTGATGGTTTAAGTCTCGTTGGAGACATAGATGGTTCCAAAAAAATATCCAATATCTAATTAATTCTACCATATTTGAATAAGGTTTGTTAAACAAAATTGAATCAAGAGGAATCTCAATTGCTTGTTTGTATTTGCAAGTAGTATGTTTCAAACCCTTTATTTATCCTTCTATTTTTCTTGGTTCGATAGAAATTCAGAAACAAACAATATGCAATACATTACAACGCAAAATCTCTGGGAATTATTTTCAAACATATATTGTATGAACTAGTTCTTATCAAAAAATTCCGGAGTAGTTCTTATGATTTTTATGAACTAGTTCTTATCAAAAAATTTCGAAGTAGTTCTTATGATGATTTTTGAACACATTCTTATGATGATTTGGAATACGTCAATTTTCGAACATTTTCTTATGAAGATTTTCTAGCTAAATGTTATGAAGATTTACTAACAATAATAATAAAAACAAACTTACTAAACAACACGGGTTCGTTCTTCACATTCTTTTTTCCAACAATCTTCTTCATTTTTTCGAACATGTTCGTCACCAATGGATTTGCAAAAAGGGTACCACCAATGACAAATTGAAGCTTTAAACATGGGACCCCAAACCGAGTTCCAAGGTTAATGACATGTTTGAATTTTTTTTTTCAAAGAAGGTGATAAACTAAGGGTTTTTTTTTTTTTTTTTTTTTTTTTTTCCAAAACAATTGTTGTAACAAATATTGTACATCGGGGTATCTTTTCTCAACTTTACATAATGCACAATAGTTCGATCACAAATTAAATAATGAAATTGCTAATGTTGCGTTTGATCGTAGAAAATTCTCTAGTTTTTCAGAAAAGTAAAAATATTGAAAACACGTTTGGTTTGATAGTTTTTCTATAATTTTTCTGAAAAAAAGATTTTTTTGTTTTCCAAAATTACAAAGAAATTGAAAAACTAATAATTATTGTTTTTCACACTTTCCAATTTCCAATATTTTCTAAAATATATAAACACACACACCAACCCGACCCATCCCACCACAGCCACACCCATACGGCCATACCCATATCCATCCACATAAAAACTAGAAAATGAAAAACTAACAGAAAAAACACAACCAAACATGTTTTTTAATTTTTATAAAACCGAAAATGAAAACTCAAAGGTTTAACCAATCACATTTTCTAAATTTTCCAATGAAAACTCTACTCATTTTTTTAAAAACTTTTCCAAAAAAACAAAACAAAAAAATGAAAACTCAAAGGTTTAACCAATCACATTTTCTAAATTTTCCAATGAAAACTCTACTCATTTTTTTTAAAAACTTTTCAAAAAAACAAAACAAAAAAAGTTGTTTTTCACAAACAAAGGCAATCTAAGTGTTTTAAGTATCCTAATTCTTGCACTTTTCGGTTTTCAAAATTTTGCTACATTTCCTTCTAAGCCATGATTTCTTTATTTTTCCTTTTTCCGATCAATACCAAAAGAGTAGGTGAGAAAATTGAATGTACATTTAAAACTAAAAAGCTTTGTGCCTTTTTCATAGATTATACGTAGTTGGTTTTGGTCGGTCTATATTTTATGTTTCAAAACATCCTTTATGAGCATATCTTGCTTTTAGATCATACCTACATTATGTCTAGTCTTGAGGTAAAACCTAAATTTGTATATCAACTCTCTTTGAAGAAAACAACCATCAACCATCATTATTGTCACTTTGCTACGTTTGTATGTGAGGACTAAGGAGAGGTTAATTATAATATGTTTACAATTCAAAACTATAAAATGTGAGTCATAACTCATCGATCAGTCATGTTCTTCTAACAAAGGTAGATAGAAATGGGACCTTAATGAGGCCCAACACTTTATGATGGCATGGAGGTACACTTAGAAAATACAAATTAACCCAAGATGGTCATAAAAACACATGTCTGCAGATTTAATAACTCAAAAAAGGATTTGTTCTTTGTTATTTGGCAAATACATTTGGTTTGTAAACATTCTTACTCTAAATATAAATATGGTTTTATGACTTTATCCTATTTAATTTGTGTGTTACCCTCTTTGTAGAGATGGCTCACGAGACTAAAGAGCCATTTGCATGTTTCATGTCACTTAGATTTTTCACAAGAAGACACAAGATTTTTGTGAATGATAAAAGTACATTGTCTCCATACTTTCATTTGATGTTTGGAGCCTCTAACCTCCATTTTGAGCACTTATTTAGAATAAAAAGCTCAAATTTGTGTCATTTAATTTTGGTATGACCAAAGGCATTGAATATGAATCAGAAAATTGCAGTGAATATTTATTATGTGATTCTGAATTCACCACAAAATCATAACTTTGCAATTACATTTGTGGGGCGTCATTGTTGGATCGCTATATACCTTACAATTTACATACGTTTTTGTGGCATAAAATGCAGTTTGCGTACGTTTTTTAATTAGTGACTTGTCTAGACATTGATATGGTGAAACCAATAGCGATCTTATTAAATGTCGATCTAAAATAAGCCGAGTTTCACAAGAGTATATATGTACGTCATAATGTAATTTTATAAAGGTAATATTTTGGATATTTGAAGTTGAATATGGCTAAGTCATACAAAATGGTAGATGATTTATTTAACGCTTAAGGTTTTTATAAATATTTGGAGGATCCAATGAGTTTTCTCTATTAAGGGTACTAGTAATCAATTATATGAACGAGTTGACCAAAATGATAGAAATAACAACCGACGTCGGAATCATCTACTTTTTCATCTATATATATATATATATATATATATATATATATATATATATATATATATATATATATATATATATATATATATATATATATATATATATATATATATAAAGACTCTTTGTATAATTAAACAAGTAACAAGAAAAACATTTAGATGATAAAGATTAACATAAAAAGTTCATAAAATCTTTACAAAATCACATAAAATTTAATGATTTCAATGTTCAAACAAATATAATTAGCTAATTGGAAATCTTCGTAAAATTCACTATATTTTGGTTCATTATTATTAAGTCATAACTTTATTTTCTTAAACAAGAAAGGGTAAAGAAAACTTCATTTGCTTTACATAATAGAGATTTTAGCCGGTAAACAAGTCAGCAACTTATACAAGCAAAATATGATCAAAATTTAAAGGGTTTTCTAAGTATTACCTTTTTATAATATTAGTTTTATATTAATTATTATTTTACTATAATTTTGCTATATATATATATATATATATAATATATATATATATATATATATATATCCTCATGTTTTTTTAAATAATTGTTTATTGTTAGTATTATATTATTATTTTTATTACTTTTTTATTTTAATTTAAATTATAACAAGATAATAGACTTTACCAATAATACATTTCTTTGAATAGAAATAATACAATAAATTAATATCATATCTCATACAAAATATAATAATATTACCGAAAAAATATTTTGTTTGACAAGGAGAAAACAATAATATTATACTAACATAATAATATTCTATTTCTTGATCCGGATTATCTTGGCTGGACAGATAAAATATTAACATAAAAAATGTGTGTGTGCGTGTGTTCAAATTTGGATGATATTTATTGTGCAAACGTGTGCGGACAATGTATTTTATGATAATGACTAATAAAATAAGTTGTTTAATAATTTGAATACGTTTAACCTCAGATAACTATTGTTATTATCATGTATTTCACTATTTCTCATCCACTCTTGTTTTTGCACATCGTTATTCACTTGTTCTCATTCTTACAGAATACGATTATCCTTATAAACGATTTAATTAGTGATAATACATGATAATGACAAAAATTATGTGAGATTTAACGTATTCACATTAGCAAACAACTTATTCTTTTAGTCATTCTCACAACATAACCCTGTACACACACGTCTACATAATAAATGTCAATTCATATATGAACTTAACTTCTCTCTC